GACCCCGGGACTGAGAAGTCTCTGCTGACCCCTTCTCGCTCAACGGAAAGACGGAATACCTGGTTGTGTGCGACTATTTGTCTAACTTTATCGAAGTCAATTATCTTGGGGACACACGATGGTATCTAAAGTTATTAGGAAGCTAAAGGGCCACTTCGCCTGAGCGATGCGCGGCATTCTTGATTAAATGGTGACTGAAAAAGGCCCTCAGATCCATTTTTAGTGCTACTGGCCCATCGCAACACTCCGTCAGAATCGATGGGTACAAGACTCAGCTTCCGGTTACCACGGGGTTTATCAAGCCCTAAGGTATCAACACGGAAACTACAAAAGAAACGAGGAGAAAGATAACACAAGCAAAGCAGGCACACTTCTACAACCAATCAACACGCAAAGGATCTAGAAGCACTAGAGCAAGGGGGACGTCGTGGGCATGCCCCCTTTGTCTAAACTAGAAGACGTGGGATAAGGCGTTCGTCAAAAGGAAGCTTGGCGACCAATCCTATGAAGTTGAGGCCAACAGCACATCATACAGAAGGAATCGCGTGGACCTAAAGAAGATGAAGGCAGGAAACGTAGATGAAGAGCCCCTAGTCACATCCAAGACAAAAGACACTGCCAGTATCTGAACCTGAAGACACAGCATTGCTGGTTTTCAATCATTCCCAAGGGAATGAAATAACAAAAAACATGGCGACCATGTTGGATGATATAGAAAAAGAGACTAATGACGAATCTTTTGTTGAATTCATTCATTATGGCGGCTGTGAAAAACATCAATTGCCAACATCAACGACTGGTTCAGCTTTTAGCCGGCATATGCTACTTGGTTGTTGAAATACGCCTTCTCGATATCCATTGTCACGAAATTAATTTAAGTGAATGCGAAAGTTGGTAACAATAAATAAAGTGCTTCAATAAATTCAGACAACCAATTCAGAAATTTGTGAACATTTTTGATTACAGGAAAACACAGATCAACCATGCTAGCATCGTCACAACTTACAAATAAAAAATGCTGCAGCGAAAAATGCTAAAGGAGGCTCTCGTTAGAGCAATTAAAGGAGACCCGTGATGACTTTTGAAAGGAGTATCCGACTTATGCGCTCCAGCGCAAGATGATATTGAAGTGGTTTGACAA